TATATATATATATATATATACCTACAGGTACTCTCACTAAACCCTATCTCACCAGATACAAGAATCTACCCGTCACCATAACCGGAGAGATATGGCGCCAGCAGTACTGCCTTCCGATTTCGAGTGGGGTTTTGCAACAGCATCGTACCAGGTCGAAGGCGCTGTCAATGAGGATGGCCGAGGCCCTTCTATCTGGGATACCTACAGCCACCTCGAACCATCACGAACGAATGGAGCTAACGGTGACATTGCCTGTGACCACTATCACCGATACGAGGAGGACCTTGATCTTCTTGTCAAGTACGGCGCAAAAGCATACCGGCTTTCGCTGTCATGGTCTCGCATTATCCCCCTTGGAGGACGAGACGACCCGGTAAACGAAGCAGGTATTGCGTTTTACAATCGGCTGATCGACGGGCTCGTCGCCAGAGGTATCAGGCCCTGGGTAACTCTCTACCACTGGGACCTCCCACAGGCGCTGCAAGACCGGTATGACGGTTGGCTGAATATTAAGGAGTCCCAGATGGACTTTGAGCGGTTCGCGAGAGTATGTTATGAGCGGTTCGGAGACCGGGTGAAGAATTGGATCACATTGAATGAACCGTGGAATACCGCTATCAATGTATGTATCAAGTCAATCTTGTCACGTTTTCCCCCACGTCTGCAGGGGTTAAGATGGCATAGGGATTCGTAAGATGCACCGAACCCCCGGGACGAAGCAGCACTCATGACGCCTGTGTCCCGGGCAACTCAACAACCGAGCCTTGGATTGTTGGGAAGTCCCTTATCCTCGCACACGCGAGAGCAGCGCGATTATACAATAGGGAGTTCAAACCCAAGCAAGGAGGCCGTATCGGTGTTTCTCTTTGTGGGGACTATATCGAGCCGTGGGACTCCTCCGAACCCAAGGACCATGAAGCAGCTGAGCGGAGAATGGAATTCGTTATCGGCTGGTTCGCCAACCCTATGCTGTAAGGCTCACTGGTAGACTAGTCTTGGTTCAGGATTTCGAATTGTCTTCTCCATTCAAAGACTATGCAACACTGCTAACAGCTAGCTCATCCGTGCTTCTAGACTTGCACAGGATTATCCCATGGCCATGCGTCAACAGCTTCAAGACCGCCTCCCCGCGTTCACCGAAGCGGAGTTCGCTCTCCTCCGCGAAGCCGAGGTTGATTTTTATGGTATGAACTACTATACCTCTCTATTCGCACGGCACCGTGTCTGCCCCGCATCGGACACAGACTATCTAGGTAATCTGGATGAGTACCAAGTCAACAAGTCCGGTGTTTCTATCGGCGACCCGAGCGGTGTTGACTGGCTACGCTCTGCGCCCCAGGGCCTTCGAAAGCATCTCGTGAGGATATATAACAAGTATAGAAAACCTATCTATATCACGGAAAATGGCTGTCCCTGCCCCGGCGAAGATAAGATGAGCAGGGAAGAGTCTGTTCGGGATGCGTATCGCCAGAAATACCTCTCGGATCACCTAGATGCTATTACTGGGGCGATACAGGACGGTGTCAGAGTATCTGGATATTTTGTATGGTCATTGATGGATAATTTTGGTAAGTATTCCCAGATCCTTCCCTTGCTGAAAACAATATTCAGCAGCTGATTCGCCTGTCTTATTCCTCCTCTAATTCTTGTCCTAGAATGGTCCTCGGGGTATACTATCAAGTTTGGTGTGACACACATTAATTATGATACGCTTGAGAGGACCCCGAAGGAATCAGCCTTAAAAATTCGTGCCATGATCGAGGGCAGGATGAATGCAAAGGTACAAGGGGCCTGAATGGCGAAAATCTAAACTGTTGTTTAAACGCATAGTTTTAGTGATACGCCCGTCCCCCAAATTGGGGCAGCATCTGTCAGAGACAAACTATGTACGACAGTTATGTGATGCTTGACAATAATACCACCACAAATCACTGTTGCTGCTTCTGTAAAAGAAGGTGATATGGGTCCCTGGTTCGCTCCATGGGTTCCGACGGGATCAGTGACTGACTCGTACGTTATGAAGATGCAATCCCTAATTCCTCTGCACCACAACGATGGATTGTATCTCGGAAGCCTTAGAGAAACATATTAGCGCAATCGCTTGTTGCTTTTGGGTGCGTCTAGAGTGAAGTGAATGTTGTTAATCATCATTAGTATCTCATATACTTTATCTCATTTCGGTAACACTTTCTAGCATTTCGTTAGGCATAAAGCGCATAAGAAGAACACGGAAAAAGAGGAATCTAAGTGATCTAAAAGACATGAACCATGAACATTAGACAAAAAAAAAAAAAAGAAATTCGAGATAAGTCCCAACTGGTAGGTGATGCGCAAGACAATATCATAAGGCCCCTCAGGGAAGAGCATTCATTTCCGTTCCTTCCTTCTTGTGGGAAATCAGACCACTAGGATGTATGACGTTGAATGCAGTCATAACCAGGAGCATGAGCAATCCATCAAAAACATAGAGGAAGACTTCATGTCGCAGAAGGTAGCCATTGTTTCCCGTTGCGTACTCGATGAGCCGAAATACCGACCGGATCAAAATGAGCGAGTTAGCCGCATAGAGTACATGGAGATGCTTGCGCCAGGTGCTGTTTAGTTCTAGTGTTTGCTCTGTGGGAGACTTTTTAATACGCTTATGGAAAAGCGCACAGGTGGCGATAAAGAAGCCAAAGAAGACGATCTGGATGACGAGTCCAGCAATGACAATCTTTTCACCGTTATGAACGGCTGAGAGGCCGCCACTGGCCATGACACCGCCGCCTATGTACTTTATATAAGCTTTCATTCTTGTTCCTTCGGTATCTCGGAAAGGAGAGCCATGTGGGGGCTTTGGAAATGGTTACTCACCAGCAGCCTGGACGGTGAAAGACAAAATATCGCCACAAACAAAAAACTTTGTGAGCCATTTCTTTTTGAAGAGACAGAGCTGCTCGGCATCCAGTAGCACCACAATCCTCCCCAGCATCATATATATCGAAGCTGCGAATAGTGCGGGAGCAAGTAACAGCAGTAGTGTCTGTTGGATATAAGGGCCCATCGTCCAATCTGGGCTTTCTGTGCTCGACAAGATCCGGCCGATGTACCCAACCCATTCGACTGTACGAGAAAGGCTCTATGTTAGCACTCGTGAAGAAGGATGCTTGTCTCAGCGCATCGGGTGTGGTTGAACTGACAGAAGCCCCCAATCAGAAATGGAATGAAGGACCATGTCCGATGACGAACCAGCTGATACAAATGGACAAATGTCGTCATAGCAAACAGGACGGTGAAGACGATGGCTGCCGCCTCGGATGGATAGTATCGGTAGTACGCCCAGATTGCAGTTTTGTAATCCTCAGCCGCAACTGTTGATTTTCGAATCGAGGGAGACATTGTGAATATGGTGATGAGATGGAGCAAGATAGGCAAATGAAGATGGCTTCTTGCCTGAGAGTCAAAGTGGGAAGAAATTACAACAAATCTATCCAGCCCACCGATCTCTATTTATTCTGTGGCCTCTAAAGGCGAATCTCAGATTTGACAGATCCACTTCCTGACATCTCTGCCATTCGTTCGTGTTAATCGTGTTAAGCATAACCTCAGGGCCCACTCGTATCCGTATAAGCAATTGAAACGTGCAGCCACGATGTTAGATGGTTAGTGTCATGGAACGGTACCGCGCACCAGAAGAATCTTCCAAGGCCACTTCTTATTCGCAGTGTTGCACGCTCCTGGTCCCACTCGTATTCGTATAATATTAGGGATCGTATAGAATGCAGTGGCGGCGGAACAGGTTAACAGACTCAACTGTCCCACTCCTACTATAGATTCACGAACCTGGGTCCAACATACCGTGTTAAGACGAACGCAAGATTCCATGAATGCATGGCAGCTTATATTGAACTATACAAGTCAAGCGCAATGGGTTGAATACCTGTAGCATCTGGCTAGAGGAATAATAGCGAGCTGTCAAAGTCCACATCTGCATTTCATCGGCTTCCACTTGAAAATTTCATACACAGCTCTCATCGCTTGTCCTATATTGAATGCATATGAATCTTTTCTTGTTCAGCTTTCGGATTTTCCGACCATTCGACGCTCTTCCGAACATGCACATAATGGGCACTGAGCGGAGCAACTGCCGCATCCATCGGTCCCCACGGGCTATATTTGTGTCCCTACCGACCAGTCCAAGAGGGTAGAAAGATAGCAATAGTACCGAGTACCGCTCAACAATACAAGTCCACTGCCTTGAAGCGATTACTCCACTTCAATTGTCTATCAGGTGCGGACCTAGACCTCCCATAATGACTAGACCAGCCCTGCAGGATTAAACGTGCTGGTTGGAGCGTTATAAATACTCAATGGCAATCCAGCAATCCATTGCTGTCAAGTTTTCAGAATTACACCCCTACACTCATTTCCTTTCCTTCTATTACCCAGTCATTCATTTCTCTTTTTTATTTGCTTTAGTGGCGTTTCCTGTCCTTTATATTCATGCGTGTACACTTCACAATGCTGGTCCCGAAAGATTCAGGCAATGTTGGTTTCGCCTTTTATCGTTACGATCCCAGCATGGGCGCGGCCGTCCTCTTCGTCCTACTTTTCATTGGTACGACTGGGTATCACATTATGCAGATGTTCAAATCCCGCACTTGGTTTTTTATTCCCTTCGTTATGGGAGGCATCTGTGTGTATCCTCCAAACATCCGGAGGCCGCCATTCACGCTTACTTACCTCGTCCAGTCGAGATTATCGGATACATCGGACGTGCCGCATCAAGCAAGCAGAGCCCAAATTGGACACTCGGCCCATATCTCGTGCAGACTCTGTTCCTTTTGCTTGCTCCAGCTCTCCTTGCCGCGTCGATATACATGTTTCTCGGGCGCATTATCCTTGTCTTACAAGCCGAATCACATGCCTTGATGAAGAAAAAGTGGTTGACCAAGGTCTTCGTGACAGGAGACGTGCTCTCATTCTTCCTGCAAGGGGCTGGTGAGTTGAACAACCCGCAAATGAGGATGAAAAGAGACTGGGCATATTAGAAGCCCGCGGCTAATTTTAACCTCTGCTAGGTGGTGGTATTCAAAGCAGTGGTAGCCTGGAGAGTATGAAGACTGGCGAGCACATCATCGTTGGTGGCCTTGTGATTCAGATCCTCTTCTTCGCTTTCTTCATCCTTACTGCGACCCATTTCGACTGGAAGCTCAAGGAGTACCCAATTCCGCGCGCTTGTTCCCCAGATATTCCTTGGCGGAAACACCTCAACGTACTCTACATGACGAGCTGCCTAATCATGATCCGATCCATGTTTCGACTGATCGAATATATCCAAGGGAACAATGGGTATCTCCTGCACCACGAGTTGTATTTATACATATTCGATTCTTTGTTGATGCTTCTGACGATGGTCACTTTCAATGTGGTTCACCCGCAGGAGATTGGTCAACTATTGCGTCGCCCGACTCGGTATGAAATGACTGATGAGCAGCTCTAGAAGTCCTACCGCGGGTACCGCGGCGCGTGAGAATGGTGGCACCTTTCCTATTAGTTCTCAACTTCAGTCACATTACTCCATCCGAGGAGACCTAAGCAATCCTGTTAGAGCGAAGTATAATCCAGGGAGCTCCTCCATTTGCAAAATCCCAAGACCGCGGACACAGACAAATTAGAGTTGGCTATGAGTAATTCCAAAGGCCAAGACCGATCGGCACTCAATGGCGTGACCATAAAAGCAGCCTCACCCTAAGACTCATCCGGGCGGCATCCATCCAACTTTGAGAACGCTCGCCTGGATGTTGTGAGCGGCTGGTAAATTTGTCATTGTCATGGCGAATCTCAACTGCTAAAAAAGCGTTCAGGTGGTAACAACCTTCACGGGCCACATCATAAGCTGGCTTAACTGAGCGTTGTGTAGATTCGAGACGGCTGTTTGAATCTTAAGAACTTCCTCTTTAAAAGACGCTAGAAACCAGGAGTCCATGAGAGTGTTGACGACATAGTAATGAGCCAAGATGACCAGCGAAAGTCCCCAGACAAGATTCACCGGCTCGTCCATATCCAGCAAAGCGATAAAGTCATCTGAAACCAAGCTCGGCCAAGACTGCACTGCGGCCTCTTCAAGATTGGCCTGAATGTCGGAATCATCTGGCGAACCCCGTTCGCTGACCGAACATTTTAACACAGCCACAACGCGCGAGTAAACCGTTTCCAGGACGTCTACCGCTCCTGCTGGTGCATATCCCGCCCAGTCCGATGACGCCGGAGAATATCCGGGAATTAAGTGGAGCCCATTGCTATCGGGAGGTTGTATGGCGTCGCAAGAAGCCCTCAGGTCCGCGATGGCTTGACAGGTTCCCTGGGCAAATAGCAAAAAGCGCGGGGAGCAGTGACTGAGATTGGACAAGGGTGAAACAAATGGAAGATCATCCCAGTACTCCTCGCCATGGAAATGTAGGACCATCGGCCGCATGCGGCTGGCTTTCAAGGCAGGCCATTGATCACGGATCACGGTGGGCACCCCTCGGACAAGATGCAGCCAGCTCAGATGGAGCTTGCAAATCGGCCCGGGTGGTTGTTGGTTTAGAGTCGTAGCGAACGGGTTCAGTTCGGGGACCTGGAGGGACGCATAGACGAACGCGACGAGGAGGAGGGATCCAGCGTAAACAGCTTCAGCATTGGCATTGGATATCCTGGCCACCTCTTCCCTAAATCCCCGTACCCCTCGCTGATGATGATCCATTACCACCAGCAGATCTACTTCATCTCTCTCGCCTCGCCGTTGCCTGGTCTGCTCCGTGATCATATGTATACCACCCAAGGCGAGGAGCAGGTGCATAAGATAGGGGTGGCTTGCAGCGAGGTCTGGAATCACCCGCCGCCAGACCATGCTCCGTTTCGGATTGTGGGACATCATTTGGGCCGTGTGCAAGTGGAAAAACTGCATGGAGAGGAGGTTGTCCATATTCAGCGAGTCGTCATTTACTAGAGTGCCACTGCTCGGCGACCACGACGCATATATCTCTAATGGTTTTAGAAAGGGTTGCGGGTCATGGATATGAGGACTCCTAGCACAGCGACGCCGGGAGCGTGGCCGTTCCCGTCGTGTTCTGTCGGAAGTTGCTGGTGGTTCGGGGAAGGAGCATGGCTCACCGCGGGAAGAGCAAGAGCCACAGACAGGACGGGCTTCATCACACTACAGACGCGTGAATAGGAGAACTGGGACAGCAAACCAGGAGAGCAAACCAGGAGAGCAAACCAGAAGAGCAGACCAGAAAGGCGGACTTACTTTGACCCGTCGGGACTTGCATGGGAAGCACCCAAGGCGCGATTTTTGGTGGCGGGCGCGGTGTCTCTTTCGCGCCTGCTGAATATTTGAAGCCGCTATCTCTTCACCCATGAATGAGGTGCCGCTCGGAGAAAAGCCCTGCATGACCACTTAGGGAGAATATACATTGGTAACTTCACAAGGTTATCGACGTCGAGTGATCAAGAGATCAGGACCAGGACTGGTAGGCAGAACTTCCGCAGCTGCGGCCAACTACCGAAACGCTAGTCCTGATTGGATGGATAATAGCATCCGATAACCTCAAAACGTTTCACCGCCATGCGAGGTGCAAAGGCTTAAAAAAGACGCCCCCCAGAAGGTCTTTATTTTATTTCATGTTTTCCCCCCCAATCCGAACGTGACCGCCCGTCCCCAGAGCTCATACTATTGACCAGAGACATGAGACAGCTTGGTTTAAAATTAGCCAAGATGGCCAGTCTTCGCAGCGAAGGTTAGGACTGAGACAGTAGCGGCCCCGGATAACCACCTCGGTTAGTACCACAGAAAAAGGGGACTCGACTTTATTGTATCAGATACCAGACTTAGTGGAAAGCCCTGTTTATCTTGCTTCGCCTTCGACCCTGAGTGTTCGGTCCGGGGTGGGCCTCACATACGAATACGATCAATATTCTTAGTGGTGGCGGTGGGAAACCTAAAATCTTGTATGTGGGACACATATCCTCAAAAGACCCCGGGAAGGTAGGTCGCAGGCTCTCATTGACTTGACTCCCAGCAATCATCTAGCATCCATGACCTGATGTCGACTTACGAACCCTCAAATTATTTCTCTGAGAGATATCTCTCGGGGTCCGCCGACGCTGATCGCTGTGAACTCCCCAAGCAGGAAGGAAAGCGCAGGCTACTCCTGATTTACATCCATGGCTTCTTGGGGTCAGAGGACAGCTTTTATCAGTTTCCTAGGAAGGTCCATGACCTGCTGACTGTCTCGCTGGCACAGACCCATGTTGTGTACTCAAAAATATATCCACGCTACAAGACCAGGGGACCTTTACAGGACGCTCGCGATGGTATCAGCCAGTGGTAAGTAATTTCCTACCTTCCAGCAGAACTATCTCCCGTATTTTATTTCCCTCATAGCGTCTTTCAGGTTATCTCCGCACGAGGCATCCGACTTGGATGTCATACTGCTTGGCCACAGTCTAGGGGGCCTTATCGCTGCAGAGGTTGCCCTTGTGACATCTCACACTGCCTCTAGTCAGATTGAAGGCATGAACCTGAGGCATAACATTGCTGGCCTGGTAGCATTCGATGCACCATTCCTTGGACTTCATCCACGCGTTGTTGGAACAGGAATTGGCCGGTTATTTCATCGCAAAGCGGATACAAACAATGAAGGCAAAGATCAGGAAGATGCCATACGCAACATCGTCGCGAATCCGGACGCAACATTCAACCCGGTCTTGACAAACGACGTGAACAAGCCGCGGTGGAAAGGTTGGGATGGAGCGCGCCATTTCTTGGAGAAGAATTCATGTCATTTATCCCGTTCGGCGCTACAGTACGTGTTCTCATACTATGACCATGCCGGATGCCTGAACGATTATTTCGGTCTCTTAAGACGACACAAGAGACTCTGTCGTTTGGCCAAGGTTGACGGATTAACTGGTTCGAGTTCGAGTGGCGGGCGGTTCCGGTTCGTCAACTATTACACGACTGCCTACCCTGTGAAGAAAAAGCTGGAGAGTGACATCGACAGAGAAAAGAGGCATTGGAATGAGAAACGGCGTGCCTGTTGCGAGACGACGGAACTACATGAGAATCTTGTAGGGAGTCGGCATTCTACATCGATGATACCTGGACAGCGAAAGAAGGGAACGGACGGCAACTCAGTTCACTCGGCGGTAGATCCAGTGCCCTCTCCCACAGAGATGGACGGTATTTCTCCTCCAGCAAGCTCGCGCGATTCAGATCAACCTGGTAGCAGACGCGGTGGTTCATGCTCTGGTTCGAGATCAGGGGGCCGACACTTCTGTCTGGTTTCGAATGAAGCCTGCAAAAAGCAGCTCTGGGTTCCGCTCTCCATGGAAGGGATGGATGAGATCACTGCCCATCAGTCCATGTTCCTCCCTCTTGGAATATACTACGAGCAGCTAGCTGCGGATGTGGTGGCACGATTGCAAAACTGGCTAGTGTGAGAATATCCTGAAACAGCCCAGGGCGTACGATCACCCTCAAACAAGATGTTGACGACGATGGTTGGAGCCTTGAATCCCCTGAGGGTCCAAGAGTATAGAGACCGCATACCCTAGTCGGGCATTCCAGCCAGCTGGAAAGGTCGCCACTCGACAACAGCTTTGCCGTACGGGGCTGGGCTAGGCTGCGTGTAGGGTTTTGCACTACACCGGATCCTCTAATTAGGTCTTGGCTGTCCTGGGTTCAGAAGCAGTTGAAGCGAGGCACAGTGTTAATATTCCATTTGGCAGTTTATTTTCCAGATTGCCTTTTTAGAATTGTTCATTGTCACGAGAGCACCAGACATCTATGTACTCTCCGCTTATGTACTATCTTCACCGATATATAGTCTACCTCTTTTTGCTTGGCCAAATCGGATACCTGGCGTACCCGTGACGTCCGGACAGAGAATCTGCCCCCACTATTGTAATCGATAATACCACCCGGATATCACTCCAATTCAGGTTACAATATCCATCCCAGATCCAAGCAAAGCAAAAAAAGCCTACGACAATAACGCCACTTCCAATCCACCTAGCAGCCACCCTAGAGTAGCGCCCTCACGAAGAAACGAGGAACTGGAAACGAGGAGCAAGCGGCGGGTGTTGCGACGTGGCGTTCTTGCTTGGGAGCATCACAATGCCCAAGTTGATATTCTGGACCTGGTTGAGGAAAACTGTTAACTCCAACTTCGTCGTTCTGGACCTGCGAAGAGAAGGATACGTTGACACTGTACTGGAAGAGTGTATCAGATTGGTGGCGCAGGATGAGCGGCTCTCTTTAGGACCAAATGCTGATTCTAGGGGCGGGGAGTTTGAGTGTTTTGAGTGTTTCTGAAGAATAGGCGAGAGTACCAGGGTACCTGACCTGGATCCCTCTAGAGAGACACTAGGTTGCCATATTCCAGGAAACAGGGCGGTGCCAGTAGGGGCTGTACCCAACTGTCAGTTGCGTTTTACCATTGCCATGGATGAGATGAGGTTCTTGATGTCATCAGCATCTTCGCATTTCTCAAATACACGCGAGCAAGACAAGCCGACTTGGGAGTCTTTCTGGCAACAGACCCGCCCGTATTCGTATACTTTGCAAGTGGGGGCGGGCTGCCTTGAGCTTAGTTTGAACAGCCTTTGGAGCCCCACCTGACGAGGATCCGGAAAAAGCGCAACTGCAATCGAGGCAAGCAAAGGTCTGATCTGCAAAAGGCGACCAACCTGCTCAGCCATCATGCTCAATGGATCTCCGCAGAACTATCTGTAAATAGACATGGGTAATAGGCGCATGAAAGAATGCAAATATGTACTCCGTGCATCAAGGACCCACCCCAACCTGGCGTCTGTCCAGAGGTCCACGGCCGATATACCCAACCCACAGAAGCCTCCACCCACAAAGGGCATGAAAAACTAAGTCCGATGGCGCAACAGCTGGTATAGTTGAGCAAAACTATTAAAGGGCAAAAAGGACCGTGATATAATGGCTGCTGCCTCGGACGGGTAGTATGCTCAAGCAGCGGATTTGTAACTGGCGTCCGCTCCCATTGTTTCTCCTGTCTCCCTGCGAGCATCGAAATGCGCCGGAGATAAATTGATTGGTGAGAGGAGCATATCGAACCCGAAACGGATTTGACCCCCCAAGGATTCAATCTTCATAACAGATAGTCTCCTGTGCAGTATTTGGGATTGAAAATCTCAACAACTCTCCAACCATGATAGCCTTATCTCTTATCGGCTCGTTATCGTATAATCGTATAAGAAAACCCACTAATTGAACCAGAGAGCTCAAGATGTCTTCTCTATGTTTGGATTGGTAGACTGCTCTTCAATGCCTCTCCAGGAATGTCCATGGGGCGATCTTCTTATTCGTACCAGACGGTGGCCTTGGGTGGACCCGCGGCAGAGTTCTTACTAGCGTTCCAGAACCAGAAGCAGGGTTCAACAGGGGTATAGAATCGCCCTTCAGGCTCACTCCCTCTCGAGTCCTTTTCCACGACATTATACACAACTTGATACAAGTCCCGCTCCTTATCTTGCGACAATCCCTTCCGTGCCTCATTCGAATTCTGCAAAAGATCATGCCACAATGCCACCCGGTTAGTAGGGCTGACTGTGGAGCTCTAGACATGTCTCCAGCCCTAGAGGACAAGGAAATTGAAATACATGTCAAGGTAAGCAGTATCCTTGATGTCTGCATCAACCTAAAACTCTTTATGAAGCGAACTGACACTAGTTGATGGGATAGCTCCGTACAAGCAACTCTTCCCCCGGACCTGTCCCAACCGCAATGAATCAGAGAGCTTGGCTTACTCAGACGTGGCGTTGGATAACGACCCCGAAAGGGTTCTTCATCACCATCTACGGACTGAACATAGTCGCCTGGGGCGGGATGCTATTCCTGCTGATCTGCAATGCCGCCCCAGCCATGTGCCACCCGTCCTGCAACGATCGATACTCCTCCCGCCGGATCTGGATCGAGATCACCTCCCAGATCCTGAACGGGCTATTTTGCGTGACGGGATTCGGACTTGCGCCGTGGCGGTTCCGGGACCTGTACTGGTGGTGCTGCTGGCGGATGTCGGGGAGGGACCGGGAGAAGAGCCTCGCTGGCATCGCGCGCTTGGCAAGTATTCATCAAGCGTGGTATCGCTTACCGATCGTTGTGTCATGTTTTGGCTGTGATGGGGATTGTGGTTGCGAGCAAATCAAATCCGCTACTACAGAGGCTCTTGACATCTCGATAAATGGGGCCCGTGCACCGGCGACGGCGACGTGGAAGATGGATTTTGTGGTCTGGTGCAACATATGGAATACTATACTCCAGGGATGTCTGGCAGGCTGCATGTGGGGGATGAACAGATTCAACCGGCCCAGTTGGACGACGGGCTTATTCGTTGCCTTGGCCTGTGTGGTGGCTGGTGCGGCAGGGTGTATAGTCTTTCGCGAGACCAGGAGGGTTGCGGGATCAATGGAGGCGAAAACAACCGATAGTGCTGTTGCAGAGAAGGGGGAGAACTGCGTTTGAAATTCCGGTCTGATACGCCTGCTCCTGGGCTATTGCTGTATGTATATAGTTTAATACTCCATTCGGCATCTTCTCCAAGTCTTCATTACCCCTGTAGCGCAACAATGTCGAGAGCCACATTGTAGTGACAACATCTCCAAATGCCCAGGAACAGGCCGAATGTTACAAATGAATCTCCTTGGAGAAAGCAGAAAGCAAAGGAAGGTTAGTTGCGGTACCTTGGGGAGAAAAGGAAGGTTGCTATTATTCGTGCTCTATGAATGTGCAAGACTACCGAAACTCCATGACTCCTCCTCCAGACAATTCACCCCCTCTTCTTACCCTTCGATATTCCTCGAAACCCAGTAACGATCTGATCCCTGTCCATGTCCGTGAATTGGCCGCTCGCCAGCATCCATGCACCTTCACCACAGCGGGCCTTGACAATTAACTTCCTCGTCCTTGAATGAATCGACGCGTGCAAGCTCTTCGCAAGACCCGCGCTCGGGTATATCAAGACCCCAAACATGGCGCAACCAGCTTTTGACACCATATTCGACATGCCCTTGCCAACTCCTTTAATCGCACCTTTGGCTCCATCCCGCTGCATCCCTTGGTATGGCTTGACGACTATGTCGCTCACTGCCTCCGTCATTCCCCACACGAACCCCTTTCCCGCGACGGCAAACCCGCTCTTGATGTCTGTAACCGGACCGTGATCCCGGGGCTCCTCGCCGTGCAATCTTGGGATGTTGCGCAGTCCTTCAGTCAGCGCAAGTGGGATGTCAACGGTCATGCCCTTGAGAGCGGTGGGGACAAAACTGCCCAGGCTCTTTGCGGAGGCACCGGCCATTCTCGCGAAAAGCTTTCCTCCGCCTTGATCGGATGGCGGCTCGATGTTGCTACTCTCAGCACCAGCATCCGCGGCCACCTTTCCCTTCACGATATTCGTCGACGTGGATCCGACAGATGAGCTGCTTGTGGACATGTGGGAGGTCTGGATAGACATACTGCCCAAACGCTGTTCCTTACGACGCCTGTGGTAATCTTGATACTCCTGGACAGGCTTGTAAAATGTCCCCAAAAGTGAACCAGTGAGGTCGGTGGTGGTGTGCATTACGGCAGACGCTCCGCCTGTAATGGGATCCCACCGACGGTTTTCGATCAGTAAGGGTTTAATGGGATGTCTAGAAGTCCGTCAGTAGCTGAGAGCAACAAGGGAGAAACATAGAGGGTCATTCAACGTACACGGTGAGATTCTTCTGGTCGATCAACCCGTCCGCAACTAAAACCTCTGCGGCGAACTTTGAAAGCTTGAGCTTTTGTCGACTCTTGAGTACGGATACGGACCACACGGCAGGCTGGGATGGGTATAGGTCGCACTTCAGACGGTCGAGGGGAAGGTTCCGATGGAATGACGCGACTGCGGTGTGGACGCCTGACTCTGACCTCATCTTGTGCGCAATGGTCGAGGCTGCTGCCGCTGCTTGTTCACTGAGACAATACCGAATGCCAGCGGCCAGCGCTTCGACGGTAAGCTGCTTATGTGGGATAGGGGCAGGCCCAGCACCGGCTGCAGCGACCATGGCGCCCCAGAATGGCTGGCTATTTAAGAACTGTTAGTTTGCGAAATGATAGGAATATAGACAAAGTACTGACTCTCCAAAGAAGGGGACAATAAGTGTTGGCTTGGAATACCGCAATCCGCAAGCTGTGGTACCTGCCCCTCCGTGATGCACGACGGCCGCCACATAGTTGAACAGCCATTCATGGGGGCAGTCCCCAATGTAGTAGATGTTATCGTGGTGTGCGCCGCCCAAGTTGGACCAGCCTTTGGAAATGATCGCCCGCGCGCCAACTGCGTTTACAGCATTGATAATAGTGGTGGTGATCCGTTCCGGGTCTTCCAGTACGATACTGCCGAACCCAATATATACCGGTGGAGACCCAGAGGCGAGGAAGGCTTTTAGGTCAGCTGGAGGGTCGTATTCCGGGGTATCACGAAAGAAAAAACCGCACACATCTATTGGACGGTCCTGTTAGTTTCAAATTAAGACAGCACAAACCAATCCGTTCACAACCCACCGACATAAGATGGCCAATCCAGAGGCTTGGGAACAAGCGCTGGGGACCAACAGTATGTAAATGGAACCTTTAGTATTTCTGCAAGATGAGGGCCTTCAAACGTAGCCACATCTTCCAAGTCGAGGTCTTTTCGTCGCCATTCGTTGATCACGTCGCCCAGTCTGGAAGTGATTGGTTAACACTGCTCTTGACATAATGTGTTGTTGGTTTCCTACCCTTGCCATGTAAGCCAATCCACTACGCCGTAAGAAACATAGTTCTTCAAACTTTCGTCTGCATTGCTACCGCTCATATTTGCCAGTGGGTGTGGAAAAGCTTTCGTGCTGCTCCACGGCATGGTGAACATTAAATGCACCGGGATGCTCAACGCCTGTGCACAATGGATGTGAGCAAAGCTCGGCGGGTTAGCGATAATCGCATCAGCCACAAAAGGCATTTGAGTACGCATATCAGGATCAATGCAGGATCGCCAGCACCCGTGCAACATCTCACGGACCATGATGCGTTTGCGCTGGATATCGCCTGCCTGTAGGCTCTCCATACTTGGAACCAGGCCGGGATTCCTGACCATGTACGCCATAAGGTCGGCTGGATCGCCCCCAATCGGGTAGAATTCCAATCCAGAGTCCCTGACGAAACTTTCAAACACGTCGTGCGTAGCTAGTCGTACACGGTGTCCATATCGCTGGAGTTCGTTTCCAAGAGCAATGAACGGTTGCACGTCGCCTCCGCTCCCGACGACTTGGATAACGATATTCAGCTTGACCTTCCAGCTCTTTTCAATTTCGACGAGAGACTCGGGATATGCCGGTGGCGCCTCAGAGATCGGTACTGTATCGTCGGCTGATTGCGGGGCCAGCTCGGAGTAACGTGGCGGGGGTGTCGTAGGTCGTCCTAGAAACGGACCACTGTACAGCTTGGAGAATCGTCGCACGAACCTGGAGTCCCAGTCGATACTCACACGGCCCTCATCTGCAGATATTATATTAGCCGCCTTCAGATACCCCGTTATGAGCCTTATAGACCGTACCGTTCATATTGACGCCGCTGTTGCCCTTGGTCGCGGCGGGGGGAGACGGAGGAAGCACCACGGGTTCGGCCGGTAGCTCGAACACCTCCAGATTATCATTGGTAGCCATGGTGGCTAGAGGCAGAATGGAGTGTATAAGAGTGAGGAAATTAGAGTCGGTCAAAGTGGTAGTTTTGGCTGCACGCCTCCTTTTAATCGTCCATGTGGCTGAGATCAAACTTCTACCACCGACGTGATCTGCTAGGAGCAGACTTGAAATTCGGTTTTCAGGGCGGGAGTTCCATTGGATTTCTTTTCTTCTCCGGGTGTTCTGGAAATCTGTTCGGGGAGGTTGAGTGAAGCGTGCTATTGTTTCTTAAGGTTATACGAACACGAACTTGCTCCCTGATTCGCTGAACTGCAAGCCCGGTGGAACTCTAAAAGAATCTTCAGGACCCGCAGTCGAGATCGGCATTTGCAGTACGTATTTTCTTACTGTCTGTGATGCGAGTACGAGAACGAAACTTTGCAACCACTTATCCCAAGTGCTACTGATTGGGTCCTGATATAAATAGGAAATGCTCTTTTTAATCGCACTAAGTTCAAGCCTTTTACTCCATCTATGTCATGTCCACAGATCGTCTCAAAATAGCATGTTCATCTCACGAGGCCTTTCGAGGGTTTGTACGCCAGCTGCCAACTGCTATGGAAGCTTAAACGACTACCTAGATACCTTTCTCCGGGCAATTTATTAGTGACTTTGGCCATGGCTAGCTGCCATTTTCAAGAATGCAGAGCAGGTAACTCTCCGGGAAAACGGGCCAATGAATTTGATTCTTCGCAGAGAGATCGACTGCGGTGGTGTACGTCTTCTCATAGCGCAAAAACTGTCATCCTTCGCCCATGAAACGTTGAGGCTCCGGCTGGGAATACTCCAGCTGAATGAGGTCTTTGCTGAACGCATGAATCGCAACGGTCTTGCAAGCTTATTCCGTACCGTACAAGATGAGGTTGACAGGAGTTCTCTCGTGACTCGGGCGACGATGAAAATACTTATGATTGGATTCGCAGGCTTTATCATGACTCGACGGTACCGCCGAGATCAGTCAAGCTTGGTAACCATCCTAAAATACCAGAAAACGGTTTAGTTGGTCCCGAGGCCACATATGTTGTGCATTTCGGGATCGCTGCTTCTCATGCTCTTGTATAATAATCTTGTGCACATCCGTTTATAGAGTGAGGACCTGCCGTTGACCAAGCCCTAGAATAAACGCAGATTCTTCCTCCGACTCTGACGCTTCTACCACCATTGTCTCTCGGTTCCCATCGCAATGTTGCGAAACACAGTAGAACTCTCACTTGTTGGGCGAATACCTCCCTGTATATCCCCCTCCGTAATAGATGATAGCGTTCGCTTATCTTCCACTGCAGGGCGAGTTAGCGCAATGACTCCATCATTGCCGTCGTCATCTTCCTTTTCCTTTTCCCTTCGGACATAGTTCTGTCTCCGAAGATGTAAGACCTATTCTTGAGACCAGGATGTCGTTCGTGTGTACTGGATGCTTCAACGAGCGGCAATAATCAGCCGATGAGAGCAAATATGTCCGGCCGCCACTACTTCCAAACAAGCAGTTCACAGAAACAGTTTCCAGGTTCTGCAGCACCAGTCGTTGCTTAGGAAGCACACGCTGTATGATTTTTGCCGGAGGTGAACGATCAAATCCTCGGGCAAGCTGCCATGCACAGTGGTGTCCGCCTGTACAGGAAGTGTAGATAGTCGCTCGGTTCTCACGCCTCCATGGTTTCATGTTCCAATCTGACATCACTATTATTGCTGGGGCTGTCCGCTTGACCCAACTCCTCGGGAACCTACTCACGATTAGTAGAAAAGAAACGAGCAAAGTATAAACTATCATCCAAGAATGTGGTATACCTCTGCAACCAAGGTAGGTTCAATGTTCGACGAGCCCAGTTCACACGGTTCTGATTCTTCTTGTTGTTGCTGGTGCTGGTGCTGCTGTCGCTTTCTGCCATAATCTCTGACATACTGTCTTGCAATATGAGCAGACTCGGTCAGAAGCGATGCGGGCAGCAAACCCCCGGACTTGTACTCCAGTAGACTAGAATGACTATATTCAAACGCAGCTCATTCGCTTCGGATGACCATGTAACTGCTTAGAAGATGTGGGCCTTCAAGTCGATACGGGTCAGAAAGCAACGATTGAGGTTCAGTCAAACTATAGAAGTGCTTGGCTTCGGGAGAGGGACTTGGTTTTGTGGAAACAGGCGACGGAAGAGGCCTTCCGCCAGAATCATGGCTGATCTTTGCAAAAATGAAGACAACCATTGATTGTGTTGGACAATAGGAAAATTCGCGATACAATCTTGCTTTCTAGACTCGTACAGATTGTAACGCTCTCAGTCGCCATCCGTTAATCTTCCGAAAGATTACATCCAGACGCAGAAGGATCAAGCTGCGCATTCATCAGTGACCTTGGCAACATCTTTACCATCAGATCTGGTTTCTGCCATAGCATGAACACTTTCTGCTTGTCTATCCAATCTTTACTGGCTGGATGGAGCTCTAGATCGAAGTGCCACAGCATGTACGCCAGGATCATCCGCATTTCTGCCCAGGCAAGACTGCGACTGCTAGTTAGCAGGAACCTCCAACAGCTGTCATGGGGCTTCCGAGGATTTGTCCTCCTTTCTTTGCGAGTTTTCACAGACGGCCCGCCAAGTGGGAAATGGGATGTGGCTACTCATAAGACTAGAACTCACTTCTTCCCCAAGCAATCCCTTTGGCCTACACTGAATGGCCTCATGACATCTCTGTCGTCGTCCTGGAACTCTTTTGGACATGGCTTTGTCCATCTTTCTGGAACCATTTCGTTTGGGCGGTGGAAGTTGAAGGCCGAGCGATTGGCAGCCCATAGATTCATAGTCACACATGTCTGAGGTGGAACGGATTTTCCCATGATAATGGTCTCAGATGCTATAGTCCTCCGGAAAAGACTGTCTGGGGCTGGGGGGTAGAGGCGCAGGCACTCCAGAATTGTGGCGTTCAGAAACTGATGGCGTTGCAGGTTAACCAAGTTTAAGTCCGACTCTTGCCTGAAATCGGCGCGGATCCTCTCAGTAAGGTCTCGTAACACGCGAGGGTTGGTGCAAAGGAGATACACTGTGCCAGAAAGCATTGTCGCGACTGGAAGGTTAGAGTGGGCCAAGTCAGCAAACATATTCCACGGCATGGGCGTGCATAATACCAGTTTCGCTTCCGGCGATGATGAGCGTAAGTGCGGCTAATTCCGCCTCTGTCTTCGTCATCCTTCACCCACATATCAACAAGGCGTCGGGCACTGCCAGAGGGGCTACCTATGTTGACTCACCTCTTGCCGCCTGTCTTCTCCAGTATATGAGACATAAAATCAGGTCTCCCAGGATCCTGCTGCATTCGCCGAGCTGTAGCGTCTTCGCAAAACGATATGACTGCGTGCTGACCCTGGAGGATTCTGCGAGGGACGCAGCAGATGAGAGCTTTTCGTGCGAATGTGGGCCAATGGTTCACTTCTCGGATGAACGAGGAGATTTTGAAGATCCAGAACACACTATCCAGCCATGGATGGAGTTTGCCATTGTCTAAACCGCCGAATGTTTCGCCAAAAGTAAGTTCACATATGACATCGGTAGTAAGAAGATTAAGCCAGTGAGTCAGGTTAACAACCCCCGATCGGCGACCCTCCTGCTCCTGGTTCGGTCGGGCAAGGCGTGCGATAAACAAGGCAATATGTGGCCTTAGATAGTTTTCTTGTAGCGTAACGGCTCTTTGTGAGAAAAGAGGTGCTAGCATACGCCTCAACCGGCTGTGATCGGCGCTGCTAGCACTTGACTGCCATAGGTATTCTATGAGGATGGTATCAAACCGAGGAAGCGATGCTGATCTACCACTTACAATATCTGATACTGGGCCCTGTCTCATATAGTAAATCGGATCCTTGGGGATCTCCCCTTTATATCCAGTCTTGTCGCCTCCATATACATCTAGAGAGAGCCAGAACATGGCATGTCAGCAAATTGTCTACTATTTAAACGCTGGAGGATACAGCAAACGATAGCAAAGCTCCCATACCGGACCACACCTGCTTGCAAGTATAGGACAGGGTATCAGGGCTGACGCGAACAACATGACCATATTTATCATGCAATTCTCTCGTCTTGGTGGTCGCCGTGCCCCGGAGGATGAAGAGGCTATACGGCAGGCGGCTAGCCGCGAGCCACCACGGGCCAGGATACTTTCGGAGAGGGTGGAGGTACACATTGTAGAAAGTGCTGTATATGAGTGCGAGGGCACACTGAACAATTAGCCAAAGAGACTTTATCACACGGGGTCACGTACCACTTCTATGAAAAGCATCGTAATGCCCTGCCATGTCATGCTTATTGGCACTATCATGATGGTCAACTGTTGCAGCAGCATCATGCTAAACTAGCGTCTCGACGCTCAGCAAGGCAAATATTGGCAACTGGACGGAGACAGGGAAAAGCAAGTAGGGGTAGGTGTATGTTAGACTATTGAAAGCTTAGAGGGAAGGACGGAAGATGGCAAATGGTCGCTTTCTTATCTATGTATCTTGTCCCGGAGCTCGGGTCGATTTCGTACTCGTACTCGTAGCCTGTTTGTCTTTGCTTTAATACGAAAACGAAGAGAACGTCGCAAACGCCAAAGTAGAGGCATGCTGCACGTTCTGGTTCAGGGCTATCACTGCAGCTCCCACGGCTATGCTGCTCGATGCGTCGGACAAGACAGTGATGCCTGCCATTGCCCTTGCGCGCCGCATCTGGCGTGGTGGGCTGACTCGGTAGTTCCCGCCGTTCAAAGAGTACCTTTTTTTAAGGTTCCATCACGAGACTACGCACATCAGCGAGATGATCACGAACGAGTTATAGGAGCAAGGATGAAGTAGCTTCTTGGACAATCTTGTCAACTTTCTGCTAGCTACAAGAGATCGTCTATTCTACTATTTCCGGTCTATCTGAATCTCTAGGAAAAGAAAACACATGTTTCGCTATGCCACTGACAATCGGGATTTCTAGCCATCAACTAATTCCAACAGGAGAAGATATTTTATGCACTCGACGTGAGAGTCCGCGAATCAATCCAAGGCTGGCATTTTCGGTGGCATATCAGAATCGTCACGACCGCAAACCCACTTTCTCTTCCGAGATACACAGTTTCGACGAGGCTCTTCAATAGAATGGGCGTCAACAAAAAGCCGTTGTAGGAGCAAGATACTGTTGTAAAACCTGTTCTTGCAGCAGGGATGAGGGCATTGAATAGCCTCCTCGTTTCCTCTGCCAGCCAAATGTTTATCATCGATGTGGTTTATCAGCGTAGATTTCTCCCGCCATTGTTGGAATCGTTCCGCGGGCGTTTTAGTATGGTCACCCAAGCAGAAAGGACAGAAACCAGGAGCAACCAGTGTGAAGCGGAACCTCAATAGTCCACGCCGAGGTTGTAGATGGTCCAAACAGAATCGGTAATGCTCAGTCCAAGCATCCTCTGTATCGACCCATTTGGCGCATAAGTAGCACCATTCAAAAAAAAGATCGCTTCGCTCGTCGATGCGCTCTCTTGCCATTTGTATAGAGCTGCTGGTACGGTGCAGCATTCCGGGACTTTCTTCTACATAGTGACACTCTCCAATTCATCATACACGAGCGTCCCGTTCGATCGGACATTTCGACCATGTCGACCGATCAATTCGTGTAGGAAGCAGTCTCCCTTGCCTTGTCGATCTGGGGTTACAGATACGAGGCGCAATCTACGAAGTGAACGCAATGCTCCCCGCGGTATGCAGTGGAGTGAATTTGCGTTTAGTTACTAGTTTATTGGAAGACGCGTTCCAACATGATGATCTTACTTCTGTAGAATAACTACAGTGCTCCCAGCCGGTCCACAGACTTTGGCAGAGACCATTCAATTGTTCCGCTCTTCTTTCATACGGGTAGGCCTCGGCAGAACACATGAGTTACTCGGTTCAAATTCGGTAGAGAATAACTGCAGAGGGAAGCCGGAAACTGGGAAGTAAGATTCACAGCGCAGAATCAAGTAGCATGAATTGGTGGTTTAAGTATCCATTAACCACCCTCTCTGTATCCACATCAGGCGAAAGAAGGTTGAGCTGAAGAAACAAAGTCTGATGACTGTCAGCTGATTATGCATATGTGACTGAGTGGCTTACCTACATTATTCGAACAATCAATGACCTATCAATTTGCGTTCCAGTATCTGACAGACACCTGGTTCGAGTCCCAACAACAAACAGAGACCTGGCCCAATGGCGAGATTTGTGTAGCGAGATTAGCCACTTAGCTGCAGAGCTATCACACAGACCACTGCAAGCCCCTCCGGTGGGTTCCGGCATATTCCAATCATGTAAGTTGCCGATCGCTCGGAATGCGTCTAGAACCTCGACACAATCATGTCGACGAATACGAAGCTGGTGTGGAATATCCCGAAAGATGATCTATCATTTCCCATAAGGGTACAGTGACTGCCATGCCCCACCTGCATGATTGATCCACACTGCCTTCGCATCCTGTTTGAAATAGGTTCTTACTTGGCATGAGAGCGATCGTGGCTGCCACGACGTCAACTTGTCTACGAGTGTTACACATTTTCAAGAGATACAACTGGTAGACATGGCTCCGTCACGAAGCGCCACGCATATTCCCCGCTCATGGCAATCGGGCTGAGAGGACGTATGTCTCTCGTTCACAAAAAGCTAGGTCTGCCCTCCCTTTCCTTCCTTCGCATTTTCCCATCTAGTCTCGATCGCCTCGAGTCTAATATTGCATAATATATGAAAAGTAACTCCTGAGAATCGGCGGAGTATTGCAGTCCATAGTGATACTTCCCTACATCGAATGGCAAAATGGACGACAAGATGGCTGCTTCTCCTGCTGGCATATCTGCCTCGGACACATCCGTCGTTGACGAGCAAACGGGTCAATCTGGACAGTCACAGGCTACGACCCCTAAAGATATAGCGTACCATACCCTCAGCAAGGCACTTCTCTTCCCGGATATCGATCAATACAAGCATTGGCATCATGTCGCACCCATGCTCGCAAAGATCCTCGTCGACGGGAAGTACAGCATCCATCAGCAATACGAGTACCTGTGTCTGTTGGCCCAGCTCATCGTCCCAGTGCTCGGTCCGTTCCCGGCACCGGGACGAGACGTATACCGGTGCACCCTGGGCGGTAACATGACAGTTGAATTGAGTCAGAACTTCCAGAGATCGGGATCGACGGCGCGGATTGCCTTTGAGCCCGTCCGCTACCAGGCGAGTGTCGGCCATGATCGGTTCAACCGCACCTCGGTAAACGCGTTCTTCTCCCAGCTACAATTGCTCGTCAAAAGCGTCAACATCGAGTTGCATCATTTACTCAGCGAGCATCTGACACTGACGGCCAAAGACGAGCGGAGGTTAAGTGAGGAGCAACTCACAAAGTACCTCACAAACTTTCAGGTGAAGACCCAGTATGTGGTGGCGTTGGACCTGACCAAGAATGGCATCCTTGCAAAAGAATACTTCTTTCCCGGTATCAAATGCGCAGCCACGGGGCAGTCCGGCACCGATGCATGTTTTGGAGCAATAAGGGCAGTCGACAAAGAAGGCCGCCTGAATAGCGCGTGTGAATTAATCGAAACTCATTTCCAACAAAGCAAAATTGACGCTGCTTTCCTTTCCTGCGACCTTGTGGACCCCGTGCATACTCGATTCAAGGTCTACATCGCCGACCCTCTCGTCACCCTCGCCAGAGCGGAAGAACACTGGACGCTGGGGGGACGACTGACAGATGAAGACACCACAATTGGGTTGGAGATCATTCGTGAACTCTGGTCAGACCTCGGTATTATCCAAGGTCCACTTGAGCCTTCGGCCATGCTGGAGAAAGGACTCTTGCCCACTATGCTGAATTATGAGATGAAGGCTGGCCAGCTACTTCCCACGCCCAAGCTCTATATGCCACTTACAGGGATTCCAGAAACAAAGATAGCGCATACAATGACTGCCTTCTTCCAGCGACATGAGATGCCGGAACAAGCAGAGGTTTTTATGGAGAATTTGCAGGCATACTAGTGAGTTGATAGATCACTTTCCGTTGTACATCTCGTTTACCTTCCGGCGCCTGCTAACTGATTGCAGTCCAGGTAAGAATTTGGAAGAGGCGACGCGTTATCAAGCGTGGCTGTCCTTTACGTACTCTAAGGAAAAAGGGCCGTATCTCTCTATATATTACTTTTGGCCTGAATGACCGCTGGGCAATTGGAGCAGGCAGTTTTTCTACGTGAGACACGGTATCAGCAATCAATATTGGACTGAAACAGTCAATTATTGCACTTCATTTACGTTTGACCTGAGAGACTAGGCAGGAGATGCAGTATGCAGGGTTTACGGAGTGGCATATCATTGATCCCTTGTTATTTATTTCTACCCTTATACTTTACTTGTATGTTTGTTCTTATAATACATGAAGTGATATCAGTAGATATATGGAGTTATATAGCTCTTTATTAACAACCTGACCGCTGACTTTGGGACTGCCTTAGATAGGAAAGATGGAGAGAGAAGCGCAACGGAGCAGCTGCGACGGCAATAATTTCAAGGTGTTCTGCGCTGGAAGATGTGCAATGGGAGGTACGACAGCATAACTAAAATATACAGAGAAGGTCGGTACGGCTGCAGGAACACAACAAAAGGGGGGTGGGTTTGGGGTTGTTTAAAATAAGCCCCTGACTGATCAGTGAACTTTATCTAACCTTTACTGTCACCTTGCCAACAAGCAGTAGTTATCATTCATCACACCAGATTCTCCTACGTAGATTCGGACCATTAATCGAAGTCGGCCGAGACGGGATGATCAAATGCAAGGGCCGTCCAGACGAGCCCTAGGTCCAGTATACCGACACGAACACCAGAATTATGTCATATGTTGAAACTAGCAGAAGCCCAAGGCAGCAACTATCGGGGAATCCCGTGAACTACTACGGACTTAATATCTCGATGATTAGAAGAAACCTCCCGGTGAACTACTAAGCATTAATACCTAGGTATCCGACCCCATGCTCACCAAGTGCTTCGCGTCGCCAACGACAGTGCCAGAAAAGGATAAAAGACTATCCGAGACAAATCTGGGACTGGCAAAGCACCAATTTGAAAACAAGACAGCGAGAAATCAAGGACACAGAAAATGGCATTTCATGCAAATATCCCTGCCACAGATCCCGGTTTAAAGAAGGGCAACAGCAGACAAAATAGCGGCAGAGACACAAAATACTCCGGAAAGGGCCATGCCATGCGCAGAATCTCCGGTGAACTATACGTGGGGGGACCCAGATTGGATAGCAGCGGATGGAGACACTGTCATGCTTGCAGCGGCCATGGGAATCACTTTATGTGAATGGGTTGAGGATGCCGAAGGGGTGACCGCAGTAGAGACCTGGCCCTTGCTCGTAGCTTTCCTGCAGCTGGATTGACCCAATTCCGTGACGACGTATTCCCTTTGAATCCAGAGAGCTTCATCACGTCCGCTGCAGGTCTCATCACTATGGCATGTGTTCCTGTCATAACCAGCATAATTATAGAAGACTGACTTCTTCTTTTGAAGAAGCTCGCCATCAATGTTAGCTGGTTCCGACACGACAGGATAGCCCATGTAAGCGGAGATCGACGCGCTGCTGGCACAATCAGCGAACGCTTCATGGACAAAATAAGCGGTGGTGTGGTGGTCGCTATGGTCTCCGTCTCCGTAATCATGGACAAAGTCTTGGGTGTTGATGTGGTCGTAGTTGAAATTATCGGCCAGCTGTCTCAGCACATGCACCAAGTCGCCCTTGGAGTATGAGGATCCGCCCCAGGATGTCAGAGAGGATATGGTACCTTGCCACAGTTGCTGCAGGCTTCCGGATCCAAAGCCCTCTCCTCCGTTGTTCCCGTCCGGTAGCTGAAGAAAGACAAGTGAGATACTGGGGTCGTTGTTCAATGTAAACAACGGGATGTTGAAGCCTGGGATGCCGGCGTCCGACTGTGTCCAGGAGTTGTCGTCACCACTCATTTGGGCGTACGCAGCTTTAGACCCTTCTTGCCTAGACATCCAGTAGTCTGCACCATTGCCCGCGTCTCCAGCGGTAAGGAAGATGGTGCGGACGCTCCGGCCAGACTGAATTTCATTGAGTAGTTGGGGGCTCAAGAAGAGCAGATCGTCGTCCTCATGTGCAACAATGTTGAGGGTTTGGGCGCCTGCAGTAGCTGTGAGTGCTACTGGAAGAAGGAAGTGATTAAGCTTCATTCTGATGAGAGAAAGCTGGTAATGGGATATGGTGGGATAGAAAGAGAAAGAGCTGGTACGTGAGACTGAAGGAAATTTACGCGGTTCATAAGGAGTTTCTGATGTAGACGAATAGTAAACAAAAGGATATTTACATTTTCGTACTCTTTGGGGAGACTCGCCGCACAATGCTGCAAAGTCTTAATGGCATTCTGGTCAGGGTGTAGGTACCTGTTTGTGGTTGGTAAACATGCCACCTGCCCCTGGCAATCATCAGCTGTTCCATCTGGCTACTCGAGATGCGCGGGAAATGAGATGGTAATGATCAGGACTTTTACAGATATTCATAATTCTTTTGTATTATCTGGGTCCAAAAACTCACATTCGCACCCTGCCCAGTGGTACTGGCAAATCGCTTGTTGCGACAAGGGCACCAATAACCTCCAGGGGCTCAACGTTGTCAGTCCCTCTCAAACTGGACATAGACCCGTTCCAAATCGGCAGTCCTTCGTATAACTACTTTGTCAAACTGGTGTCAATCCAGAGCCCTCTTGATTAACCAAGAGGCCTGCTGATGCTTCACTGGACCCATCCTATGTCTGATGCGTACACTGTATATGGTGCCGGCTGTGAACCGTGCTTGGGCGAGTATTCAAGCTGTCAGAGTTTGGTCATCCTATCCGTGGTGAAAGAGACAGGAACGTGCTGTAATGGGCAGACGAGGGTAGTACTTGCCAAGGGCTATATCGGACGCAGGAGGTGCAGTACAATAGACAACCTTTAGGACCTAGGCGAAACAATCCTATACATAACAATGCGTAGGAGCATGGGTCGTTCCACAGGACCTTGGCAGCCATCTCAGTCTCCAATGTCCAACATACATCACTGATCTCTTCTCAATAACTACGAGTAGTGTGTTCCGTTAAATCGACAAGAACTAAGGCTCTACTTCAAAATCTCCGCAAGAGAAATAGCAGGGAAGGGTCACATTGGCTGATCAAGTCAACTTTAGGTACTCTCAGTCCAGAAGGCGGCCACCAACTGAAGTGGTCATGCAATTAATCCACACGAATCGCTCTACAATTGGCTGGAAAATAAAGGCTGAATGTCTTAAATAGTTAACTGTGCAAATGGGACGTGAATTTAAACCTAAGGTTGGCAAGTTACTCTCTGGACTCTCCATCTTTTGCCAGGGTCACTGCTCCCGGTAGCCCTTGGCGTCTCAGCAAGAATGTTGATCTAAGAATAATTCCCGAGTCAGAGTCTGGTTTTGCTAAGTCTTTGCAACTACTGAATCCGGTGCATTCCCGCGGGCTACCTACGGAAACCACTGAATGCAGCCTCCGTTATTACTGCCTTGGTATTTCTGCAAACATTGGACCTCAGTCACCGCAGATCATGATATATTTGCCCTCATGTCAATCGAAAGGATTCCTTGTCCCTTTGCCCCCTTACTTTCAAAATGATCCATACCCGCCCTTGTTCAGGATACACATTCCTGGTGGCTGCATTCATATTCGCGTCCCTGATTGTCTGGAGAGAAGCTGTTTGGAAGTTCAAAAGTCAGCTGCTCCTCCATTGCAGTGCCCCCACTACGATTGTCAATGCTACTGGTTCTGCTATTCCAAACCAAGTCCATTATGTGTACATCCTGCGAGATACTGACGCTGACTTTGCGTTCCAATTCAAACACTTCCTTTCTCTCTACTCCGTCTTGCAGCACTGGCACCCCGATGCTATCTATCTCCACACCAATGCTAATCCACAGCGCATCGAGAACGCCCGGGCAGGGAAGACGGGGAAGTGGAACCAGCTTATATTCAACACTCCGAATCTGCGAATAAACCATGTTGAACCGCCAACTGTTGCTGGAAATGGGAACCCCATTGATCAGATCGAGCACAAGTCCGACTTCATCCGCGTTTCTACCGTCTGCGAGTTCGGCGGCATCTACCTTGACTGGGATGCTCACCCGATTCGCGATATTAAGGCCTTGAGGGAGAGCGGCTTCAATTCGGTCACTGGCCGCCAAGCCGGCGGCGAGATAATGAGCGGCACCTTCATGGCCAAGAAGGATGCCCTCTTGCTCCAGATGTGGAAAGCCGAGATGCACAAGGTTTACGACGGGGGTTGGACAACACACAGCAATGCAGCTGTGACGCGCTTGGGCCAGCGTCTGGCACGGTTGCCGGGAGAAGTCCTGATCATGGAGCAGGATGCATTTGGGCCTGGGAGCTGGACCACGTCTGAAAACATCCTGCTATACGGGATTCACAACGAGACAGATTCCAATCTGGAGAACGCTACTGATTGCAAGTCCTTGCCGTCTTACGAGGAAGGAATTGTGGATCGGTGGGACCGGCCGCAGGACTTTCCATCATGGGAGCAGGACTACTCACATACATACATATTACATGCTTTTAGTCCTGCTCGGAATGGAAATCTGGTCGAGGGCTTCGAGCATATCACACCGAAATATGTCCTGGAACGGCAGAGTAATTTCGCACGACTGCTATATCCCGTCACGAGGGATATGTGCCAGGCCGGCTTTGTGGAGATAAATGATCCATATGCTGGATAGTTGACATTGTTCATGTGCACCCAACTAGGAGAGGATTTTATGTGGTCGAATTGTACAAATGAACGGAGCTCAACGTATTATAGCTATTATGTCTTGTTTCCTTGACGAAATTGTGCTGGAACCTACTGGCAATCAGTTAGAAACACAGCTACTGCGTAATGGAAATCCACTACTGTGCAAACTGTACAAGAAGGTTTGTCATGAAAGCGTAAGGCAATTATTCCAAGAGACGCACAGGTGTCTATATTTGTATTACTACTGAAGCGGGCAAGGGTTGAGAGACAAAGGTGCAGTAGACCTATCGCCAGGTTCTGTTAAACTCAGACACGCCCAGCACCTAGACTATGTCCAACTGTGCTCATACGTCCGTTCAGGTCACGCGAGTATCATAATCAAGTAAAGTATTGCTTTGCTGACTAGCAATGAATGTGAATGCAGGTCCCTCCGGATCAGCTATCAACTTGTAGAATTGCCACCCCGGTTTTTGACAATGCTTGCAACAACGCCGAAAGCGGCATAATGGTCTGACAAAATCCAAAAGGGAAATGGGAAAGAACCAGCGGCCGTGATGCACTAAAAATAGAGCAAAAGTTACGGCTGTGGAATGACAGAGAGCTAGGAGCTCAACCAAAGGGGCATGTGGACGCTCAGGAATGCTTCGGTAACGAGTTGTGGAATTCGAATTGAGACATTCCCAGGATTTCCCAACTAATCGCCTAGGATATTCTTTTCAGTCTTTCTTCAGAGGGAAACTATGACTATTCATCAGGGGCCAAAAATGTGCAATCATATGTTGTCCCTGCGACTTTACCCCTGTCCCTGTGAAGGTTTTGATGAACAGATATTGACACTTCAACCCGCACTGGAGCAAACTGATTATCCAGAATGACTTTTCACCATGCTTACTGTTACTTGCAAGGCCAACGTTGCATTGAATGGGAGATTAGCAGAGCCAACAGGCTTGCGAAACCACCTAGTTGACAAAACAAATCGGATTAATAGGGTTCCTAAATAGGTGCATATACATTCCACAAGGACTTGCTCAGACTTAACCAAGGTCTGAGTCAAGCCTATTCTTACCTAGCTGGGATTGACCATGGCTGGTGATTTGTCTCAGCAACTCTGTAATGCCGCTGCACAAATAGCCCAACGTAAGTGCTTGGTATGAAACGATCGAGGCATCCGAACCTCGGAATAATGGCCATTAACTAAGCCTAGGGTTCCAGAGTACTTTGCTTCAAGAACCCCAGAGCCCTGCAACCATTAGTGGTCATTGTTAGTTTCATTGAGCAGTATGATCACCGCAAACCAATCCATTCTCGGGCAGCTCGCAGGGAGATGAGTCATTTGACTGCTTGTTTCCATACAAACCCCGTGCGAAAACAGAACTCCGAGGCACTGTGAACAACAATCCCCAAAGAGAATGACAGCAGCTGTTTTCGTCCAAAGTTTCCTCAAGTGAACATGTCACTGTGGAGTAGTTGATTGAAGCACAGAATGGTAGGACCGAAGGCAGTATCGGTCCCACTTTGGCCTCTCCTCGCTACGTTCATGGATAAGATCCAAAGAGATCATGGGCAGATGTGACACAGAACTACTGACCTTTGCTTATGCTGTTGATTATCCCATTCAGCAGTCACAGTTGACTCGAAATCTCCCAGCGCGAATTTTGCAACATGATCTTGAACACCCGCCGGCGGCGTCTTAACATTACGAAGATTCTCCCCGGGGTACTTATTTTCTATGCCAGTGTCTATTTTCTCTGGCCGGCAGTCAGTGCACGGTACAGAGGTGCGAATTGGCCGTTCATCCGCCGCTACGTCCCGAGCGATGACATACTTTCGCATACCCAGAACGAGACTCTAGGCGTTAGTACCCTTTATGTCCTATAGCACTTTCGTACTATCTAACCCCACTGGTCTATAGTTCGAACATATCTATGCGATCGGCTTGAAAGAACGGACCGACAAACGGGACTTCCTGACTTTAGCGTCTCACGCTGCTGGTTTCAAGGTAGAGTGGATTGACGGTGTGCGACCTGACGACCTAGATCCCAGATCCCTACCTAATGTACGCGCTACCGTCCGCACGTTATTACTGATCTGCTAACGTTGAGACAAGGGACTCAACGGAACTGATTTGAAGCCCACTGCCCTGGCCTGCTGGCGCGCACATATGAATGCATTGAGAATGTAATACAGCACACTCTCAGCAGATATACCCATTCCTTAGACCGTGACTAACGGAACGGGAGTGAACAGGGTCCTTCAGAACTCCTACACGACCGCTCTTATCCTAGAAGACGACGCGGATTGGGACGTGGCCATTAAACGACAACTCCGCGAATTTGCCCGTGGGGTACGCCAGCTAAATGGCGAGGAAACCGCACCCAAAAAAGACCCCTATGGCACAAACTGGGATATCCTCTGGATTGGAGGCTGCGCCTCGGGCCCCGGAGCCAACGAGACGACCTTCTTTGCCATCCCAGAGGACCCAACCGTCCCCAGCGTTGATAAGCGGGACGGCTGGGGCGGCCCACTGGATACGTGGAAAGAACAGTATCCCAACTTGCCGGTTGAGTCGACGCGCTTCTTATATCGGGCCGAGATGGGCTGCTGTACGTACGGATACGCCGTCACAAGGGAAGGGGCCAAGAAAATCCTTGCCGCGCTTTCCGTGGATCGCCTTGACTGTGCTGTTGATAATGCCATGAGTGACCTGTGCGCCGGCATCAACGGCCGTCGGCAGCTGAAATGCTTCGCTACGTTTCCTAATTTGATCGGCACCTATAGGCACGCTGGTCCGGCATCACGCGACTCGGATATCAATGGTGGTGATGATACCACATTCCATGAGGCTGAAGCATGGAATATGGTCTACAGTACTCGGCTCAACATCCATCGGCTGGTGGCGGGCGAAAGGAAGGTATATTCGCAACACAAGAATAGCAAAACAGGTAACATAACGGAGTTGGACTTAGCGGATGTTTACTATCCAAGGGGGATTTTGGTTGGCTAACCTGGACTTTATATAGATGGAAGAATCTGTAAGACGAGAGCATCTGCGTTGTCTGATTGTCATTCCCAGTGGTTTGAGCCCATATGGCTGGTTCTAGTTAATATTGTGTGCCCAGTTATTGAATTATAATACCACTAGGCCAAAAAGGCTTCCGGACATAGTCCTCATGTTACCTTGAAACGCGATTCACTGAACGCAGGTGCCCCCCACACATTGCTCATGCAGGGAGATGAGTGTCTACGCTACTTTATGGCAGATATTTCGGGGGTAGTCTTGGTCCTGTGACGAATTCATTTCGATATAATGGTATTAATACCTTTTTTAGGGTAGGCATTCAAGGAGAGTGACCACCTCTTCTGCAACGGTTTCGTCAGTCATATCAATCGCTGCATTCGGCAATCCGTCCATTACCCACAGTTCTTCAGCGGCCGCGAAGCGCTATACGCATGTATCTGATTATAAAAGACATTAGCTTGTCTTCAATCTGGAAGCGGTCGATCTAGGTCAGGTCACACATACAGGGTCATCCCTGTCAGGGCCATTAGAATACCGACGAGGCTTCCCCTCGAAATTGGCCGATCGCTCAGTGCCCATCCCAACCCGACAATGATACACGTTTTCAAGTGTCCAATGACAGTGCTGCTGACCGGGCCAACCGAGTCAATGATGATGAATTGTGATAGGTTCACCAAACAAGCAAGCACACCGCTCTAGAAGACCGAGTTAGCCATTTTTAGCGCTGTGACAAGATAGTGCAATAGGAGGGCTCTTGGGGAGGAAGTATTACTGCCATGATGGAGACATATAATGATGTCGAGAGACCTGCAGTTGCTGGCAATGTCTCTGCAAAAGGAACAATGCACAGAAGTATAGCCGCGCTCATTGGAGCCTGGTTCAATAAGAGTTGAACACTGCTGACTTCGAATTTCCGGTGATAGCGTCCAACGAATGCTGTATATAATGCACTGGCAACGACACCGCTGAAGGCAAAGACAGCGCCCTTTGAAGATGCTGTGACTTTGCCGTCTGTCTTGGGTAGCGCGTCATAATATGACACGGTCCCGACGCCGCCACACAACACTATAAGAGGTATGGTGGATGCCGTGGGAATCGTGGCGCGATACAGAAGATAATTCAAGAGCGCGGTAAGCGGCGTCAGAAGTAGTCGCACGAGTTGGTGGAAGATGACCGATGAATACGCTAGCGAGAGATTCTGCAGTATCACCTGGAGACTCATGAGTACAGCCAAGTGCAGAGTCTGGTGGACTGGCACTCGCTTCGCAGTGAAGACACCGCACCAAGGACGCGATGCCATCCATAGGGTGAACCCTGTTATAAAAAAGTGGTAAGATGCAAAGGCGATCTGGCAGTTACCGAATGACTCGTCGACGAAAATAGATTTGTTGGTGAATATCTTGCACGGGTCAGTAGATTCCACGTGTTGTCAAAGCTGTTGTGCTTACAATTGCGACTGTAGAGACAATGTTTACTGTGGTCCATATTGCCAGGCGGGCTCTGGAGCTTCCTCGAGGTCTTGTCAGTCTATGTGAAATTTGAAGGAGTATGAACGTACCCGTCGTTGCCTCCCTGTCCCAAATTTTCTATAAGATTCAGTGGAGAGTTGAGCCACCAGCTGAATGGCCATGGCTTGATGGCGTTTCCACCATTGATACGCACTTTTGCTGCCAGTGAGACAACCATTGTACTTAGGTTGGCATATAACGTCCCTTGAACAGGGGAGAGACATTGGCTTTAAACTTAGAGGGCATCTCTCCCAGAAAATAACATGCTACTGTCCTTTGGTAAGGTGGTAGCCTACATGACAGTTGATTCCGAATGCGGACATCACAGTCCTATCCGCTAGTTCCTGAGCTCCATGGACCCTTATCACCTACTGTACTTATTCCTGGCAGACCTAGGCTCGGTGCTTCTATTTTAGGTATGCTATGGCTATGTTGTATCTGCCACCGTATCAACGTGTACATATTTGTGATCCGATCCCATGTCGTCTTTTATGTAACTGCACGCTGGGCATAATAGATCAAAGAACCTTCTAACTCCATTTATTGTTTAATTGGCAACAATGTCTCTGTCAGACATCGTTGTCATCCCACTTTGCGAGGTTGCATTTCCATCTCTGGTGTCTTCCGCATTTGGCAATCCCCCACCATCAACGAGGTCCCTCTCTCCACTCTGCTCTCTGTGTCATTGTTCTCTGTTGCCGGAATGTGGAACTGGCTTTTCTGAGTTGGAAAATAACGTAGCATTCTGCCCAGGACCGGTCAATAGAGATGCATATATATATGCCCCTGGCGAGAAGAGTAATAATTCTACAGCGCACACAGTAGTCGACAAACAATCACCCTGTATAATAACCCATGGAGCGGTATCGCTTCCATGGCAGTTCATGATTCTTATGGCGACCAAAAGTCGATCTGGCATCTGGTCCTTGATGTCCTATCATGGATATTCTGGTCCAATGCCACCATTCTGCTGAATAAATGGATCATCAATTCCACAGACTTCCGTATGTTCAACTCTTCCGCATCCACCGCCGTGCTCTGTTGAACTGACTTGTCCCAGATTACCGTGAGACTTGAATACTGATACCTTGAACCTTTGTTCAGTTGCTGATTTTGTAGCTATCATCCTCACATGCTGGCACTCGGTGTTTGCGGCCATCGTCACCCAAGTCCTCGCGCGGACGACGAGATTGCTTGATGGCCGGAGAACTATACCCATGGATGCGCGGATGTACTGTCGGACAATACTCCCAATTGGACTGTTATATTGCGGGAGTCTAGTCTGCAGCAATGTGGTTTATCTCTATCTGAATATCTCCTTCATCCAGATGCTCAAGGTACTTACTTTACACTCTGCAGTCGTGAGGGAAACTTCCTAATTCTTGCATAGGCAGCCGGCCCTGTTGTCACACTTATCACGAGCTGGTCCTGGAAGGTTGCAAAACCCTCAATTGGAGCCTTCATCAACATTCTTGTCATAACCCTGAGCGTTGCAATGGCCGTGTCGGGGGAGATCAGATTCTCATGGTTGGGTTTCGCTTTCCAGTTCGCGAGTCTCGTCTTCGACGCCAATCGCCTCGTGATGGTCCAGATTCTTCTGTCCGACAGTGGCCAGAGGATGGACCCGCTGGTCAGTCTTTACTATTTTGCGCCGGCGAGTGCTGTTATGACCTCGCTGGTGGCATGGCAGACTGAATATGATTCTTTTCAGTGGAGTTCAATCGCGCAGGCTGGGTGGACAGTTCTGACACTGAGTGCTGTGATGGGCTTCATGCTCAATGTCTCAATCTTTCTATTGGTGAGTTTATTTGTCCAAGAAACAGACCATGTTCTCTGCTGACCCACAAAGATCGGCAAAACTTCCGGCTTAGCGATGACGCTGATCAGCATTCCCAAGAATATTTTACTCATTGGGATCTCGGTCCTTCTCTGGCATAGCCCCATCAGTGCCCTGCAGATCTTGGGGTACAGCATCGCTCTGTGGAGCCTCATCTTTTACTCTATCGGCTGGAACACTGTCAAAGCTCATATTGCTGCTCTGAGGGTCTGGAGCTGGAAGAGCGAGGAAAATAAGGTCTTGTTGGCTGATAGGGTTTGATTATTATCACCGGTATATATGACTCAAGATTTGTAATTGGATATTGGGCTCTTATTGTTTATATTCCACAATGATCGAATGCCATACTGAGATATACTCATACTCGTTGATACTAGCATCACACATCAAGATTCAGTGGACCCTGGGCGTAATAGTTTCCTTTGACATGACCTGGTAATTGCTTTACTGGGCCCAGAAGCCTTCTTTGATCTGCTCATTCGCGCTCTCTGTCTCTATTTTCAAGTGTTATATCCAAGACTCACAACACAGACGCCGCGACCAGAATGGCAGCCAAAACAAAAGGCACCAGGATATAATGCTGGTAGGAGCCCAGTGCAGGACGAGTCTGGTAAAGGAGTTTCATCTGGACATCCGCCTGCGGGAAGAAGATACCACGGTCGTTCACAGCCATCATGGATCTCCGTTCGGAATACTCGGGACAACGCAGCAGATAACCAACCGGAACCCAGAGGTTGCTGATAGTGAGATAACCGATATGAAGCATAGGGGGCCACGCCACTGTGGTGAGCAGCTCCATGATCAATCGTTTGGGTGCAGTCGTAGCGCCAGCTGCATACTCGCTTCTCACGGCCGCATAGAATGACAGTAGAAATGTGCCTAGAGTCGCAAGGTACAGGAAGAGGCTGTATACAAGTCCGTTATCAAGCAAATCCTTGCGCACCTTCTTGTAAACTGGCAGTTCCGTGAATCGGTTCCATGAATTCGCACTACTCCCTGTGACAAAGGAGCCCTTTGGCTTGCTTGAGAAGCAATGGAAGCGAATGATCGCAAACATATGGGCTGAATAATGATTAGCGTCGTTCGCAAAGTCAGGCTGTCAGATATGACTTACTACTTGCAAGCCAACTGTTTTCCAGGTGGGCGAATGGCCCAATGCAAAAGCCTGTGTGGGCGGATTGTATCAATCCATGTAGCCATGTCAAGGCGATGTGCAAAACTGCCAGAAAGACTTGGATCCGAACCAACAAGGGCGATGCCGCAGGGATCACACGCCCCGATGCGCAGAGGACGGGAACTGCCGCGAACCCTACCATGTACCCAACCAGCCCCAAGATGATGGACACGCCATTGCAAGCAATGCTCCATTGCAGAGGCCGGGGAATGCTCTGGTTCGAGGAGAACAACACCGACGGCTGCTGGGAGTGACCGATCTGCCATCGGTTTCTCTGGGCGATATGCCCATCCAGCGACGATGGCACCAATCCCAACTGCAAAGGTTCCAGCACCTGCATCGTCCGATAGCCGAGACCCTGCAACATCAGCGACAGCTGCCAATCTTCCGAGAAGGAAAAGGTGGGATAGCCGCCCACGTCGACGATCGTCTTCCGTCGAAACACGGCCCCAGATCCTGCGTCGATGGCCGATCCCATCCGGTCGAGCTCGGAATTGTGGCAGGTGTAGAAGTGCACACGAGACTGTTGCAACGGGTCACCATCCGGCAGATTATAGTAGTACTGCCTTGTCGTAAGCAGAGCAGCCTGGGGATCCTTTAGCAGATGAGGCAGCGTCGCTCGCAGAAACTCAGATGTGGGCATGCAGTCGGCATCCAGAACAGCACAAAACTCGGGCTGAACCTCGTTCTGCAAGGAGAAGAGCGCATAGTTGAGGTTTCCGGCTTTGGCAAACACGCGGCCGGAGTGCTGTCCGCGCGTGTGGTACGACAGGTGAGGCCATTGGGAGCGTAGCTCTGCAACGGCATCACTCAGCGCAGGGGAGGCGCCATCATCCAGCAGAAGCACTCGGAAATGAGTGACGGGATAATCCATAGTGCAGGCCGCGCGGACCGTGTCCAGAACTACATCCGTCGGCTCTCCACAGCAGGGAACCAGGACGTCAACCCGAGGCAGATGGTCACTGCCATGGAGTCGCAGTCGGTCCCGGGGTCGGCTTTGCGACGACCTGCCTGCTGCTACCGTGAGGAGCTGATCATTCCGGGGCATACCTGGCTGGAGTCAGTTGCCATCAAGAAATCGCCTGATTGGACGATCACTTACGGGCGAAGATATACTCGACAATAAGCATTAGCCATATCTGCCAGGTCTGCTGAGGAGCCGTGATGACCAGGAGCAAGCGCAGGAGAAAGTAGAGGTGAAAGGCCCCGATGGCCGCCTTGCTTATGAGATAGAGAGTGTTCCTGTACTTCAGACTGAACCGAATGCGGTCGTCTGGTGGAAGCTCCCGGATGTCATACTCGTGTTTTGACAGCATTGCAGTAATTGACTCGGCTATTCTTGCGGATCAGGGGTACTCCAACCGGCTTCGCTATGGTTGTTCCTCGAAATGGAACCAATTCTGCGCTCTAAAGCTCCCTCATGATGGTCGAACTCGGAATGTTCGGGTGAATAGATGAGCTTCACAATAGCCTGAAGCTCAATTATTTATCTTCTCAGTCGACATCTTCCTGGGCTGTGTCCCCCTGAAGACGCGAGTCGGTGAGGGTGTGGCTTTTGTCTAGATGCCATCGCGGCGGTCCATTGGCTGGCTGCGGATAGTCTCGGTCCACTAATTGCCTGATCGGGGGATTTGAGGTTCTACGAGATGCGCCGACAGTCGACGAAGAATGAAGAAGAAGAGGCTGCCGAGCGACGCTTTTCCTTCTTCTGTCGTTTTGCAAAATGTGTTCAAGACATTTGTTCCTGTTATGATCTCGATACTTTATTTCTGATCAATAATGCCCTGCAGATTGGGCAAAAATGACAGAACGACAGAAATGACAGCCGGAGTTCGGAAGTTGCCGGATCCTCCGTGTTCCGGGCAATCGCACGGCCATTTGGCGACCAATCTGGGCCATGTTATTCATGGGACGGTGGGAATATAAGACTACTGAGTATTATTCTCAGAAGTCGACTCAAGTGTGGTTTGTGGGTTTTATAAAGAACACACTAGCTGTTGGAATCGTAGTCCCAACGCATGTGTCGCTGAACACGTATACCAAACACTGGGGGATACTGAGTCAACCCCTTTTACCGCGTACATGTTGTTAAGGTATGTCCTAGTGGTCACTGAATGCAAGGATTAGGAATAACAAACTATATTATAGTCAGGTACAGTCATCCAGACTTTGCATGTGGCAGTTTGAAGAACCCATTATAGTAAGTTTGGCTCAGGAACATGCATGGTTAAACTTCAGCCTTTGTATCAAGCCTCGACACCAATGTAACTCTCCCCGGCTTTTAATTATTGCAGGCCATTATCCTGGCTGATTCTGAAGCACCGGTACTTGCTAGTCGGCTTTTATGTATCGTCTCTTCCTTAGTGTCGAGCCGGATATTATCTGCAGCGACCACGGGCGTATCAGAGCCATCCATCGCGGACGGGCTTGTCAGCGCGGAGATTACAGCGTCGCAATAGACTGAACCTTAACAAATCTATCCTCGTCTCCGAGCCAGTCGGAGCACAATCTAGATCGGTAGATATTGTTTGGTATACTAGTCAAAGTCATTAGGCCAAGTCACGCCCAATGCACGTTGCATGAGCTTAATCAACCAACAGCCATCACAGTTACATCGTCTTCGCCGATCGCCCTCTCTGTCGACCCAGGCTCGGCCCTTTCTATGGCAAACTGATGGAATTCCCTTGAATGGTTCTCTCACGGGGACTTGTGCGTGTTTCGAGCGTTTCAGCCATACTTTCCGTCCAGGAGTTTCAACGCCAGTTGCAACGCTGTACGGACATTATCCTACTTCGTGAAGTTACCATCGCATGCAGACGATGAAGATGGCGCATCGAGGATGCTGCTCGGATGGATGTCCCGTGAATATGCTGTTGGACAGTCACAGGAGAAGGCATAGTTGGAAATGGGATATAAAACAGCCCTCCTTCGCAGCTGTTGCTTATGACCTTTCCAACACACACAGTCTTTTCGCCCTCAAGATTCTTGACGAATCTGTCCTTTCTCTTCTTGTCATTCTTTGAACCTTTGTTCGCTTTCTGTCACTCCTTGACCCCGGGTCCTTACCCCCTCCACTTGCACCATGTATTTTACCAAAGTGCTCAGTGCCCTCAGCCTGGTGGCTGCTACCGCATCTGCCATGCCCCATCAGCTGTCCTCGCGCGCGTCCGGTGCCCAGAACGTTGTGTACTGGGGCCAGAACGGCGGCGGCACTGTCGAGAACAATGATCTGGCGTCCTACTGCACGTCGACCTCCGGCATCGATATCATAGTCCTGGCCTTCCTCTATCAGTACGGAAATGGCAATACCATCGCCTCCGGTACCATCGGACAGTCCTGCTACATTTCTCCCTCTGGACAGCCCCAGAACTGCGATGCTCTGGCCTCTGCCATCAAGACCTGTCAGTCCAGGGGCGTCAAGATCATTTTGTCCCTCGGAGGTGCCGTCGGCGCGTATTCTCTGTCGTCGCAGGCCGAGGCCGAGACGATCGGCCAAAACCTTTGGGAGGCCTACGGCAATACCCAGGGCAATGGAAATGTGCCCCGCCCCTTTGGAAGCACCTTTGTCAACGGCTGGGACTTTGACATTGAGAGCTATGCTGGAAACGACTACTACCAGTACCTGATCAACAAGCTGCGCTCCAACTTTGCTTCGGATCCTTCCAACCAGTACTACATCACCGGTGCGCCTCAGTGCCCCATTCCCGAGCCCAACATGCAGGTCATTGTCACCAAGGCGCAGTTCGACTATCTCTGGGTGCAGTTCTACAACAACCCCGGCTGCTCCGTCAACGGCCCCATCAACTACGACCAATGGGTCTCCAACCTGGCCAACACCCCCTCGGCCAACGCGAAGATCTTCATCGGTGTCCCTGCATCGCCACTGGGTGCCACGGGAACGTCCAGTGGCGCGCAGTACTATCTCCAGCCCAGCGCTCTGGCTTCGCTCGTGGCCCAGTACAAGAACAACCCGGCCTTCGGAGGTGTCATGATGTGGGCCGCGGGCTTTTCGGACGCCAACGTCAACAACGGATGCACTTATGCCCAGGAGGCGAAGCGTATCCTGACCACCGGGTCTCCTTGTTAA